TGAAATTTAAAAATCTAATGATTTAATACTTATTATACTTTTTTTACAAAATAAGTCTGAAAGTTTTATTATTACAAATAAAAAAGAAAATAGTAATAACATTTCTAAGGTTAATACTGAAAGTCTAAAGTCAATATCATAAAAATCCTCTTTTAATAGACTTATAAAATCATTTTTAAAACTTTTAGAGTCTATTCTCTACAAAAAAACGTTAATAATATTTCTGAAGTTAATGCTGAAAAAAACATTCTTAATGAATTTACAAGAATATTTTTAATATCTTTATTACTTAAAGAATAAAGAAAAAAAATGTTAATGCTATTTTTAAAAAGCATTATATTCTTTATAAATAGTAGAAATATTTTAGGAAGGAAATCTTTATAAACTTTAAACATAAAGCTAATACAAAAAAAAATCAAGACTATAATTTTTTGATATTATTTTTTAGGATTATTTTTTTTATTATATCTATAATTCTTTGTCTCCATTTTTTTTCAGTTTCAGTTTTTAGATTTTCATTAAAAAGTCTTTTCTGATTTCTTTAAGATCTTTTTTTAATTAACTACAAAAATGTAAAAAGTTTATGAAAATTACTAAAAAGAAAATAAATAAGTGAAATTTCCTTTTCTTTTTGCTTATATTTTATTATTAGAACTAAGTTATTTTTTCACATATTCTAATAATTATGATCTCAATAACCTTTTTATTTATAAATCTTTCAAAATTTAGTTTTTAAATAAAACTTTTTATCACAATCCTCTTAACTATAATATTAGTTATAACCAAATGGCTAATAATAAATTAAATAATTTTTATCAGAAATTATTTGATTATGTAGTTAAAGAAATAGAATTAAAAAAAAATGATTGTCAAAAAAGATATTATTAATATACTCTTATAATTATAAAAAAATCAATTAAATTAGATTTAATACTTTTAGGTTTTTTAAAAATTTCTTTTATAGAGAGTTGACTATAATACTTTAATAAAAGTATATATAATATTAATAACTTTTATGCTAAAAAGAATTAATAATAAAGATAAAATAATTCATATAAGTTGATGATTTATATATAGTCGATCCTCCCTATAGTCATCCCAAATATAAATAATTACATCCTTCTTTATAAATACACTTACATTGGCTTATGTTATTAATAAACTTATTAAAAAAACCCTCTCTTAAATTATAGTGATATAGAGAAGATTAAAGCATAGATATAAATTATTAATGTTATACTATTGATCATTTGTAGATCCTATATATACTATATATTAAGATTTATTATATCATAATTAGACAGTAGTCACACCACTTCCTAATAAACAAAAAAATTTTTTCTAAATCTTTGGCTTCTTGTGCGTCAGAATCAAGTGTTTGATCTCTTTGATCTTGTTAAATACAAAAAATAAATAAGAACAAAAAAGCTTCAGGGTCTATGTATTATATGCAGACTGTAACCAATATGAAATACCGTTCAGTTACAGAATTAGGACTAAATAAAGCTTGTATCGATAAAACTAACACGTTTAACTTGGAATTAGGTGACGTTCTTTGTCAAAATTGCTATATAAATATAGTGAAATAGGATTGATATGAAAAGCAAAAGTCTAAGTGCAGAAAAAAATCCAATAAAAAAAACTTTAATTATCATATGACTAGTCAAAAATGCATCACAATATCTTAAAAAAATTATGAAAGTCTTTTTGAAAAAGTAAAGAGAGTTGAGGAACTAAAAGAGTATATAATTCAATTAGAAGCTGCACTAAAACAAGCTTTGAGTTAGTATATTAAGTGTGTATTCAGTTATTTTAGAATATTTATTTATATTGTTTATTTAGTATTAAGCGTCTTACATCTATATTATATACACTACAACATCAAGAAAAAAAACCATTTACAAATTCAGAAGAATTTATTAAAATTATTTAAATACGAGATTCAGAATTACAAGAGTTTTTTGATATTTTATATAGATCAACAAATCCTATAGCAAAAAATAAATTTATAAGACAGTATTTACAAATAAAAGTCATGTTTATATGCTATCAAATGGCTGTTTTATATAAAAACAAATTAGTAGAATAAAAGCTTTTATAAGATTTTTTATGTCAGAATGTGGCATATTTGCAAATGGGATTGATTCACTCGCTGAAATGGGCTTGAGTTTTACATATCAAACAGTATTTAACTGAATAAAAGAAATATTAAATAATTATAATTTGTCTGTAAAAGTATATATTAATAAAAATGTATGTTATTTTTATTTCATTTATTTAAACTATTTTGTGTATAATATAAACTAATAATATTTATTTGACAAAGTTTAATTTTTTAAAAAAAAAATTATTATTGCTTGTATTATATTATTATTATATCAACTAATAATACTTATTTATTATTTGATGAAAAATTAGAAGTTTTTAATTTTTTTTATTTGTATCACCTGAAAATTTTAGTGTTTACAATCCTAATGATATAAAAGCGACCTTACTAAAGAACTTGCTTAATAAATATTTTAAGAATATTATTTGCAAAAGTTATAATTAATGCAAAGTAAAATGAAATTTCATAACTGATATGACAGCCTTAAATGATGATGATCTTATTGAATTTTTGGTCATTCATTTTTATGATGCTGATTTATTAGAAATACATTTAAAATTTTCCTTCAAATCCACAAAGTTGATTGATTTTTTACCTTTAGATTTAAAAATACTAATGATTATTTAACATCTCTAAAAATTTTTTTCAAGTGAGTTACTAAATATAATTGAAAAATATTTAATATTTTAAAGTTAATTAATATTTTTTTTTTAATTTTATTGAAGTATAAAATTATCTCAAAATTTTTTAATACCTATACCTGCAGATTTTCTAGGAGAATTATATATTCAACATGCTATAATTCAGAAGCTAAAACTAGGAAACTCTTCACTAATCTCAAATATGATTACACATCTTGTACCTTTTTTAGGACCCTTACATGTTTCTCTTAATACTCAGAAAAGCTGCCTTTTGGTATTTTGGGGATTTTTTAATAAACTTTACAAAGCTGTTTTTCAAAAAAGAAATTTAGCAGCAAAGCTTACATCTTGAAGAATAAACCTATTATTATATTTGGCCTACACAGTATGAAAATAGAAAATAAGTCATTATGTATTTTAATAAATGCAAAGATCTGGCTTATTGCACTTTTTTGACTTATTATATATATTAATACCTTCAACCTTAGATATTTATACAATACTCTTTCAGGATAATCATTTTGATAAATATGTTAAAAAATCTTCTGATTGTAGACAGTAATGTGTCAGTTTCAGAGAAAAAACTATAATAAAATTATGTTTGCATTTTTATCAGATATTTAGTATTGGACTCAAATCAATCATCTTATACTTTTCACACTTAAGAAATACCTTAATGCTTTTGATGAATATCCTGTAGAAAACTTTCATAGTCTTATCAGGAGACAGACTAATGTAAAGGTTTTAACTTCAGAATGGTTAAGGCATGATGGAATATTCATTGATTACCAGCGTCATAATAATGGTTTTACCCAGATCTTTAAGACTAAAAAATCATATCCTTACTCAAAACAAAATATTGATGTAATGGCAATGAATGCTACCATTTTTTTGTTGTGATTTTTTGATAATCTTTCCAAAAATATTGGAAATTTTGAAGTAAAAAAAGAAGAAAAAAAAATCAAAAAATCTTACTGGTATTTTTCAGACATTTCAAAAGGATTTTCCAAAGGAGCTTTGCCATTAGGATATCATTCAATCAGATCACCTCAGTCTAACCATTTCTGTGATGCAACGGAATGCACAAATTCTCAAACCAATGGAAAGGTTATGCTATGTGAACATACTTATCATAATGAATGCTAGATAAAATTAAATTTTTGTGTACCTATTGTCATGATTACCTCTCAAGTTGTATTGATGATTTAGCTAAATCATACAATAAACGATTGGAAATAGTTAATGACATTAAAAATGAATTTGAAAATTCTAAGAAATTAATACAAGAAGAAGATCAGCTTGAAGGTGTTTCTGTTTATAAACAACTGAGTCAAAAATTTCACAAACTACTTACAGGTATCTTTTAAGTTTTCATGATTATATTATAAAAATTCTATATTAATATGTCAATATGTATAATTAGTTCTCAGTGAAAATAAACCTTTATATTTTTGATGTAAGTAAACTTAATGATGATTGATTTTTTTATGCAATTTGCTTACCAATTGATGACACCAGTTTTAACTCAAAAATTTCAAGTGGAAGTATTTTAAATAAAGTTTTTTTTTTAATTTTTATTATAATTTTCTCTTTTTTGATCATTAATAACATATATGCAATAAAATAAAAACGAGATGAAAATGAAAATGTAATAAAAATGTGAAATAAAAACAAAAAAAATGCTTTTAAAATTTGAAAATTTAATAAAAATCCTTTGAATTGATAGTAAAAGAGGGTAAAAACCCAGTTTTAAGGAAATTGAGGAAGGTGAATACGAACTTTGATATAAAATTTTTATAAAAAAAAATTTTTTCGGTTAATTTCATTTAGCAAATTATGCGTCACGTGAATTTAATTTCATTGGATCGTCAATGTAGATCATCATGTGGATCGGCATTTTAGCTGACCAATCAATGGATTTTTATCTATGCTGATGATTGACTAATTATTTTATCTTATATACAGTATATTTATTTATTTAGATAATAAAAAAAATAAACCTTTAACTCTTCTAGCTTATATCACGTGATTTTTCATTTATCATTGGTAGATCAATAAAAAAATATATACAATTGAATGTCGTTCTCCCAATGACACCCCACCCACCCTTCGAATAAACAAAATTTTTTTTAATAATACTTTCGAAACAAAAAAAACCTTCTGTAAGAATGAATTTCCTAATTTCTCAAATAATTATTTAAACAAAAAAGATACGTCAACTATATAAATTGTTGTCTTTACTAAATGTGTTCTCATCGCTTATCGCTTTCCAAAGTTTGAATTTCATCAAATTTCTCTGTGAATGTAGAGAATTGTTTTACTAACTTAAAATGCAAAAGAGCTTTATAAATTCTTGTAATAAGACCTAATAATACAACCAAAACACTTGACAAAACCGCAACTACTTGAATAATATCATATTTAACAATTTTCTGCGTATAAATCATCTAATCAAAAAATATGTCGAAGATTAAAAAAAAAAAAATTGATTTCTTATAACTTAAAACATAAATTAAATGAAAACGTACCATGATTACGAGTTGAGGAATATCCTCAATAAAGAAACAAAGTGAACTTATTCTAAAAATCAATTTTAATGAATAATCAGTTAAAGGAGCATTAAAATACTTTAGTCCACCAATATTTGATACAAGAAGATTTAATATTTCAATTTCCATACACGACATTAGAGTGAATATCCCTAATATACCAGTACATTCTTTAACCCATTCATAAAACGAAGGATTTGTTGTTATTTCTTTAGTTAACAATTTAATACTCGTTAACATATTTATAATTAACGGTAATATAAAGAATATCAATCTAAAAGTAATTATTTTTATTAATAAGATTTAAGCAAAAAAAAATGTTAAAATTAGATCAACTTACGTCGGAACATAAAGCGAAGGTACGTTAGGAGCATTGTTAATTAAAAACAGAAAATCCACAACAAAATCAACTAAAGAAAAAGCTGTCCTTATTAAGGCAAACAAATTGGCCTAGAATGTTAAATAAGAAAAAATTTTTTTTTTAAATTTTAATTCTTTGTTTAATCATATATTTGTTTATTACCTCAGGACTTTTGAGTCTTATCATCAACAGACCCACAGATATTAGACCAAAAGTTGTTCCAACTCCAAGAAGTTCAAATTTCTTCTCTTCAAAGAAATCACCTATCATTTGATGATAAAGTGTGTAAATAATTTTTTTTTTTTTTAAAAATATATATATATATATATACCTCCTTGTTCAAAACCAAAAGCTCCATCGATATGTTCCGATCCATTGCATTGTCTCATGTAAGAAATAGGACTTTTAATCATAATATCAAGATCTTTCTTAATTTGATCAGTATTTGGTAAATTCCAATCTTTAGTTTGAGCTATTCTTATGCCAATGATTAATTGTTTCTCTTTTTTAGATAGTGCTTCATCATACTGACAGCACTTTGTTAATGATAATCTATGAATATCAACTGGCACTGAATCTGAAGCACATTTTAGTAAATTTTGTAAAAATTCATCTCGTCCATTTGACGGTAAAGATTCAAAATATTTTGTTCCATTTGAAGTTAATCTTAACATTCCCTTTATTGAAGCTATAAATAAAGAAAGTAGGTTAATATTGAATCAAGAAGAAAATGCAACGTTAATAGAAAAAACCATTACGAGGAAAAACGTCCGTGTTTGGTTTTTCATCGACTGAAATGAAATAATAAATAAAATAATAAATTTTAAAAGATTTTCAAATCATATATTTATTTATTTTAAAAAAAAAAAAAAAAAAAAAAAAAAAAAAAATACTTGTATTTAACCGCCAGATATTTGCTTTAATTCCAAATAAAGGTTCTTTATTATCAGCATCTTTGATCGAATTATATTCGAGTCTAACAAAATATCCAGCATTAGGAGTATTGAAAGTACTTTCCAAGACCTGTATATTTAGCGTCCTGCCATCATCACTTAATGTAACATATTTATCATTTGCAATCATTTTTTGTCGAAAGATATCTTCGGTATTTGTTGATCTATATATTGAAATATATTTGCTCGAAAGTTCGACTCTAATCTTAAAAAATATTCTAAGCATTTGTGTTCGTAATGGAATTACTGCATTATTTGGTGGATAAGTTGCTATTATGTTTGGATTATCGTATCCGTAATCTAAAATTATATACGTAACTTAAATGAAAGCTTATAAAACGCGTTATATTTTCAACTATAAACTTACCTTTCACGAGTTTAGGCAGCTTAATCGACCTAAAAACGCAAATATATATATATATATATATTAACAAAATGTTCAAATCAACTAATCAATTTATACCTTATACCACTGTTGGGTTTTGTTTGGACACATTTTTTGATTTAAATATTTTGGATAAGGTTTTAGACATAGGAAAATGTGTCCATAATCTGTCAAAAACTGTCAAAGACTGTCCAAAATTGTCCAATTTCCCAACACTGCCTTACACTTCCCAATTAATACTTACAGAATACTCCATGAATTATTTTGATTTTGTAAAAGTAATGAACAACTATTATTTTTATAAATTTGCATTTGCGCCGATTTTGGTACAATTAAATCATCAGGAAAATCCCATTTCGAAGAATATATTCCATTATTATCTAATATATATCCTATTAGATTTTCAGTATTATTATCAAACGTATTGTTTTTCTTAAGCGTTGCTATATATCCTCCTGACCATAACGCTTTGAATTCTACTTTACGTACTCCTTGCATTTCTAAATCTGCTACTATCTTATCAATACGACTTACCGACCTATTATTTATAAAAGGATGATTTTTTTTAAAAAAAAAAAAAAAAAAAAAAAAAAAAAATTGGGAAGCCCCATTCAAATACATTGATACTCACCCATAAGACAAGAAAGATAATTTAAACCAATATGATTGATTAGTGCTACTAGTTAATTCAAGTATACAAATGTATCCTACACTAACGTAAGCAACATCACAAACCATATAATCAACTCTAAGATCTGGTAAAGGAGTTTGATAAATAAGAAATGGCCCAATAATTTCATTATTTCCTGCATTATTAATCATTGTAACATAAACGTGTAAAGGGGGATCGGTAATATATTCATTCAAATTTGAAATCATTTTGTATTTCCATTGTAGGTTTTCAACATCTGAAACAATACTATTATCATCTTTGTTCATTATTAATGGTTTTGACCTATTTGAGAATATTATACCAAACCCTCCTTCCAACATTAATGAAAATGCATCGTAATGCATTGGTATTTTATTCTTGATGCTTGCAGTTTGTTCTATCATTCCATATTGTATGACATTACATGTTCCAATTTCATCCCTACAAAAAAAAAAAAAAAAAAGGTTAACAGAACGCCAAAAGAAGAATGATTGAATAACTCCCGTAATTCCAATTTTTAATAACTTACGGATCACTAAAATGAATCCAGTGTATATTATATGTGTTCGATAAGTAATCGACGAACAAAAATCCTCCACCCTGTTGAAAATTTACAACCACCTTTGCATTGGGCAATAATTTCTCACGTTGTCTATACGCCTTTGATAAAATGATCGTACTATATACAAATATAAATACACACGCTTATGTTTAGTGTTTTTATTATTCACCAGGAAAGATTATAATATACGTCAAGTACATACTTTATATAATCTCCTGTCAGAGAAAACAAAAGGCCATAATAAGTTGCCTCGTTGATCTCGCTAGAATTTAAATAAGTGATTAAAAGTTGATTTGGCTGCAAAGCATACCATTTTACAATCATTTCATCCACTCCCTCAAAATTCTTTGTCAAACAAAAATTAAAATCTGGTATATAATAATTTGGAATTTCTACCGATTTAATTTCACCACCCTCTTTTTTTAACACTCGAAAGATTATCCTAGGTTCAATACAACTTGAATTCACCCATTTAACCATTATGATTAATGATCCACCATTTTTATTTATTAACAATCTATAAGCTTTAAGACCTTCTTCTTTTTCTAGATGATTTAAAATAGTATATGTTTTATTTACTGATTTATCATATTGTCCTTTGACCAAGATGAAATACAATATCAATAACGATAATACTATCAAGAAATTAGATTTATTCATAATGAATATTATAAATTACGTTGGGTGAATTATATGATCATGTATTTATTAATTTTCGAGTTTGGACTTTGTTATTTATAATATATCATCATTGTGGCTTTTTAAAAAATAAAATGGCGAAATATTTACAAAAATAAACTTGACGGTCCGTCCAAAAAAAGTCCGGACCATATGATCGTCACTATCCAGTAAATATTATTATGATTTAGTTTAGCCAATTCCGCGAATTCTAACCAATTTAAATGGAATAAATACGTAAAATAACGCCCCTCACTCTACAATGATTACATCTTTGTTACTTCGCGTGTCCTAATAAGTTTTTATGAACGTGATTATATATATTTTTTTTGAGCCATATGTTAAAATCAGATGATCGACATACATTATTACTCAGAATTCTTTTAGGATTTATTTTTCTTTAAAGAATTTTTTCTATTTTAGTATGGTGTGATAAGTGATTGTTGTGTTCATTTCTTGTCGTTGAAATTTTTATTTGTAAACAAAAGTTTTTTTTTTTTTATTAAAAATTTGAAGTATTATGAAGCTAAATTATATAATAAAAATAAGTTAAACAAATGTTGCCTAACGTCGGCGTTCTACATGTTAATTAATTAAAACTACGCATAAAAAAAAGTTAAAATTAGAAAAAGGGAGGTATGTTTGCAAGGAGGGCGAACTGTGCTAAAAAATTCGAGATTTCCTAACAATATGGCATCCTAACGATATTGGTCGAAATCGATTAACTAAATATATATTCAATGTAATACAATGCTCTTTATACACGTCTTCGTTTATACATTTTTATTGCACAATGGATTACAATAAATAAATTACTTTAGAATGATTTTGAAGAAAATTAAATATGGAGAGTATTATTAAAATTAGCAAGATAGAGAGAATGCTTAGAGGAAGTGGAGAAATAAAAGATTATTAAATTTCAAGAATAAAAAAAAATTGATTCGAAACTATAAAGAACTGATAAATATTTATTAAGCTACCGTACTTCACCTTATATATTATTTGAGAAATTCGATGTGCGTTAAATTAATAATCGAACTTCACGATATCTAAACAGAAATGATGCTAATGAGGTGAAATCCATTCATTATTACCATCCAAAATACCAAAAAGTCATATCCTAAATTCGTGTAGATTTAGATGAGCTTCAAATTATCTAAATATCAATTTTTCGTCAGATTTGAATTACGATTTGAGTTAAGTGGTCCATTTTCGTGGGGTTTTTTTTACCGGTTTCTGCTTCACCACATGATTTACATTTACAGTGACGGAATCCGTATGAAACAAGCTACAATCCCGGCAACCTAAAAATCGCTGACACATAGTTTAATGTTAAATTCGTTTAGGAAAGGGTGTTAGGTTAGGGTAAGGTTTAGGTTTAGGGTTAAGTTTAAGGTTTGGGCCAGGATTAATATTTTTTTTTTACGTTTGTTTTTATTTTATAATATTTTTATTTACATTTTATTATTTTGCGAAAGTGATACAAAATGAATTGAATATTTTAATAGTTTGCGAATTTGAATTGTGTAATCTATGATCTTCATTTGGTACTTATTCTAATTGGATACATCAGCATTATCAACTTCTTTTGCTTTTACCCCGTCTTAAGACCTTCATTATAAAAAACTTTGTCAATGAACTTCCTACTCTTACATGTATGAAACAATTCCACCTTGACCTTTATGCTAGATGGTATTATATTGAATGTCACGTTGAAAATGAAACATCCTTACACTTTAGACTTGCAATGCATTTTCTCCAAAAATGAATAAAATTATTTCCAATACCAAAGATCTTGCTGATGAACTTTCTCTCTTTTTTAAATTCTTTGTTTTCTTTGATGAAGTCTTCGCTATTCCTTCTTATAACACTGATAGATACTATAATATCATCAGGTTTCACAATTCCTTTTCAATAGTTTTAATTAGAAGCAAACATTTAATCATCACAATAACAGTCAAAATATACCTATTTTTCTTTGAAAAAATATATGAAATGTTTGAAAACCCAGATGTAACTTAATGATTAAAAAAGAACAATCAGAAAGCATAATAAAAAAAGATAAATACTTATATGATACTAGTAAGTTTTTGAATTATTAACCTATTTCTGAAGAGTCTCATACTTGAAAACTTTGAATACATTTGAGAATAAACATAGTAACAAATTTTCAGATTTTTAAATGAACACTGATTTTTCTTTTTTTTCTTTATAATAACAGTAATCATTAATTATATAATTAGTGAATCTATTGGAGGAAAAAGATAATAATAGGTTGATTCAAACAGATTTGTAATATAATACAAGGAATAGTTAGTACTTAAAATAGTAATTATTTCTTAAATTTGTATTTTTAATTTATTAATTAATAAAATAGCTGAGTACTATATCGTTAAAAAAATTTATTTTCTTGAAAGATATTAAATATCAGGATTTTATATTAATTAGAATTTGTATTAGTTAGGATTTTTAATTTTAGTTTTATTATTAAGATAGGATTGAGTTATAAGTTTCATGTTTTATACTAGAAAATTAATTTTCATTATTCTGATTGACTAATATATAAGTATTTTATCATTATTATAATACTAATATTTAAATTTTATTTAGTATTTAAAAGACAATTTTTTGCAGTAATTAGAAAAATAAAAATAAATTAGTAAAATAGATTATTTATATGAATGCATATTCAAGTTTTTAATAATAATTTTAAAAAAATTTTTTAAACTTAATTGATTTATATGTATCTATTAAATTGTAATGATTCATAAACAAATTTACCTGCTTATTTACTATAAATTTCCTCTGATTTACATTTATAAAAAATTAATTTTTTTAAAATTAATTTATTTTTTAATTATATAATAAAAAATATAAAGTTTATTATAAATTAAAAATTTGTAATTTTTGAAAAATTTTATCAATAAACTTTAATAAACTTATTTTTAGTAATATTAATCATAATAGAATATTATAAAATTTATCATGAAAAATAATTTTAATTATTATAATTTTATAATTTATTAAGAAATTTTATAACTTTATTAGTAAGCGATTCAATTAGTTTGCAAACATGAATTTTTAAAAAAAATTTTTAAAAAAATATAATAAATCTTTTAATACTTGATTTAAAATTAAATTATTTAAAAAATTTCTTAATAATTTAAAACTATATTTTTTATAAAATTATTATATTATTAAATTAATATTTAATATTTTATTAAAAAATTAATACTTTTTTTAATTTGCTTGTTAGCATAATACAGTCAACTCTTATTATAACGAACTCTATATTTTAGATTTCAACTTTGCTATAAGACTATAATGAAGATTTTAAGAGATTTGATAGGTCAATTTGCTATAACAAAAGTATTTTTATTATATTTGTTCAAAAAATTTGTTATATCAAGAGTTTATTATATTAAGGGTTGACTGTATAGGTTAAAATTAATTAACAATTAAAATTTATTATATGTATATTTTTCTGAAAAAAATAATTAGAAACTCAAAAATTATATTAATAATTAAAATATACAACTCTCTTTCTTTTTTTTTATAATATAATCTTATTGAAATTTTTTATTTATATAATGATTTATTAAAACTAGTACTAAAAAATAATTTTAATAAAAAAATATTTTTTAATATTAAAAATCCTTAAAATTCTTTAAATAATTATTATAAAATGAAAATAAGAAAAAATATAAATAATAATTACTGTAAAATAATAAAATAAAAAAAAAACTAAAATATGAATAAAAAATTTTTAGTAAAAAAAAATTATGTATCATATTTACTATCTTAATAGATATTAATAAGTGAATAATATTCTTGCAAATATTCTTTAATAAATAGATTTATAGTTTAAAAATTTCTTAAAAGACAAATTATTTAAAAAGGAATTTAATTTAATTAAAGATTTCAAAATAATTAGAATAAATAATATCATTAATATACAGTAGTATACTAATAACATTATTTATTTTAATTATTTTAGAGTTGATGATTTTTAGTTATCAAATAACATTTAAAAAAATTAGAAATACAAATTATATAACTAGGAAACGGAAACTGTTATAAAGTCCAGAGTTTTTTTTTATTTCATATAAATATGCAGATACAAAATCAACCAATCAAAAATCACGCGTGCAAACAACTGAACTTCGCCATATGATCATATTTGTGATTACCTTGCATAGAAGTAGATAGTCCTTCATTACACTCTAGACTAATAATGATATTAATCAATTTAATAGTATTTAAATTATAAAATAAATTTTTTGAGCTAGTAAATCAAAAATATACAATATGAATTTAAGAAATAAAATATTAATTTGAAAATAACTAATGTCAAAAAGAATATTTAAAAATAAAATATATTAATTATAAACTGTAAAATATATTTTTAACATAAATGATTAAAATATTTTAAAATAGATAAAAAATGTAAAATCTAAATTCAAAAAATAATTACAGAAATAAAATTTATTATAAAAAAAACTTTTTTAAGAAATATGTAATAAAACAAATATAGATTCTAATTGTAAATAGTAAATTATTAAATTAACATTTGAAAAAATATTTTTTAATATAAAAAATATTATAAGGATTTAATTTACATAATTTAAAGCTTTAAAGTTAATTATATAATAATTTTTCTGATTACTTTTAGATATTGAAGATATTATAATAAATAGATTTTAATTTATAAATTATTTTATATAATTTTAATTTTTAGTATATCTTTATATAAGTTTTATATTATAATTCTTATATAATAAAAACTTAATTATAAATATTATTAATTAAAAAATATAATAAAAATATAAAATAATACTTAATGATCTACCTAAAAAAGAAAATCTAACATAATTATATAAATTATATTTTATATTTAAATATTATAACGCTTATATTATATTTATTTATTTATAAAGATTAGTAATATTATAATTAGATGTTTTAAATAGATTATATTCTTATAAATTATAAAATAAATTATTTATATTTATTCTTTTATTATTACTTTTATAATTATTAACTTAAATATTACAATTAATATCATCTAAACAAATTTCTAAGTTTGAAAGTCATTTAATTATTTATAAATTTATAATTTAAAATCAAATTAAATATTAAATATATTATTTAAAGTAGGATTATTATTTTACATTATAAAAGAATAATAACTACTTTAATAATATATAATGATTCTAAACAATATAACTGTTAACTAATAATAATAAAGTAAACTAGTATAGTAATATTAAAATATTTAATAATACAAATAATTAAAATATCATAAATCTTGATTAATACAAATTAGGGTTTCCGTTTGAAATACAAATTGCATTTCAAATATTTGAAAGTTTTTTAAAAATATATAGTAGGTAATATCCAAAATACGATTTGCCAATTCCCGGATTACCGGTGATTCGTATTCTTATAGTACTATCAAGGACGACAGTTGCCAGATCATGGTAATAATTTCGGACAAACAGAGCTGAAGGTCCGTCTGGTTCTCCTAACATATAGACGCCATTAGGCAGCTTGACAAACAAATCCTCTTTATACATTGCTATACTCTCTATTGCCATCCAATATTCAATCAGAAGTATATCCTGGATTTTTCATTACTAGGAAACCCTGTATAATAAAAATTAATTGATGATAAAGAAGATATATTATTAGTTTATATATCACAGTACCGAAAGCAATTGTGCGACTATTAAAAAAAATAAAGCCAAGGCCTTGACTAATCTATTACGACTCACTTACCGGCAACGGGTTGTCCTACGTAACGCAATTGTGTATTTTGGGCAGATTTGACGATAAGTAGCAGAAAGAAAAGCACAAGATTAAGTAAGTATTCGGTTATATAACAGACAGGCAAATCATAACAACGCACCAGAAACAGACTTCTTCGATAGTCCTTTCAAGAATACAAGCTTAGCGTTATTTGTCTTGCAGAGATTAAGTAATTTTTCTACGTAAGCTAATTTAGTATTCTTGTCAGTAAGATATACGTATAAATTGGCCTCCTCCTCCTCACTTAATTTATTAGGCTCTTCGGAGAGACTTTGAAGAGTAGCAACAATATTATCGAGCGACATATTATAGCTAAATAAGATTTTTGCGTAAAAATTTGCAGATTGATAACTGATCGAATGGATTGTAACACATCATTAATAATCAATACTAAGCTTTACTAGGCATGATTACCAATTCCTACATATGCATGCATATGGCTCCATCAAGCAACGCACGAAGGAATATCCCCCGCGC